GGGGCGCCCCCCGAGGGCAAAGGAAACAGCCCTCCAGTGGGGAAAGTACTTCCGCCGGCGTGGGAAGTGCTGATGCTGGAACCTATTTCATATAAAACAAAGATAACTAATCGGGGATAGGAAACTTATAAAGTTTTGGTGCAGGTTTTTTCTTTTTTGTTTGTTTTTATCAATCTTTGCCTTCCTGCCAAGACAGCCCAGGCCGCCTGCCTCTCTCCGTTTTGGCAGTTCATACAAGTCAGCACCTGGATCTGCTGTCTCCACACCGTGATTTGACTTTGTTGTGTGCCAGAAGCTGCGCACGTTTAGTTCTGCCAAATAATGGGCTGCTTTTTTTTACTGAGAATCAAACTTCGTTTTGATAGCAGTTAGAAAACTAAAATGTAGGAATGGACTATTTTAGCATCAATAAACATTCATTAGATGATTAAGTATTCCCTAGAACTGTAGTATTCAGATTTTTGCATTCAGTGATAGGGGTATTAGTCCTTTTAACAAGGAGTGCCAATTTTGGAGCCTCTATGCCCTTTAAATCCTTTATGTTCTTGCCACACTGAAATACAGAAAATACTTTTCTAGAGCCACAGAATGGCTGGTGTGGGAAGGACCTGTGGATGTCACCAGTCCACCCTCCTGCTCAAGCAAGGTCACCCACAAGTTGCTCAGGATTTCACCTGTTAGGTTTTGAGTATCTCCAAGTTTCACAAGGATGAAAATTCACAACCAATCTGTGCAACCTGTGTGTGTTATTGTTTGACCACCGGCGCAGTAATTGTTGTTTTTTATTGTTGGTTTGAATTTTAGTTTTGCATGTTTTAGCAGAAATTCTTTTATTTCAGATTTTTCTCATGTCTTATACCTGCACAGGATTAGAAAACAGTCGGTACTTAGAATCTTCTTTACAGACCATATCAGTAATTTGTTTTTCTAACAGTTTTAGTGTTTTGGGGGAAGGAGGGGTTGTGTGGTAATATGGTTTTGGTTTGGGTGTTTTTTGGGTTTTTTTTATAGTAAGTTATTCATATGGTTATTTATTTAAAAGGTTTTCTTAGATATATGGCACTGATATATCTCTGAGGATTAACCATACTCACATATTTCAGATGAGAATGAAGATTTCCGGAAGCTTGCAGAAACAGAAATTGCTTCCTATGAAGAAGAGATAGCTGAACTGAAACAACAGGTTAGATCCCCTTATAAAGCCCTTGTTTCCTTGCCATTCTTAAATTAACAAATCCAAATTGTCTTCTTGGGGGTGTTGGAACTAGGTGATATTTAAGGCCTCTTCCAACCCAAACCATTCTATGATTGCCATCAAGATATATGTGATAAATTCTTCTTCCTCCCCACTGTGCTAGTTATAGTCCCCAGGCAGTGTCTTGCAGCCAAGGAAAATTTAAAAATCAGGTTCTATAAAGACATCCTGTAAGCAAGTGTCTGTTTGTACCTGGAAATGTTTCAAAGTATCTTTTTAAATAGGTGCTATAGTTTGTCTTGTCTGGGTGTATCTTTATGGATATTCAACTCTTTAGCCCTTGGAAACGTTAAACTTACATAGTGTCACTCAGTGGTGGGTTTGGAAAAAATGTAGTAATATGTAACTATGTTAGGCTGCTACTTTATATAAATTTTACAGAGTATCTATGTTATCTAACAAAAAAAAATCCTTAGGTAAACAGACTGTTTCAACTTAACCGTAGAAGCTGCTGTGGTTGTATGCTTTATTCCTCCAACAACAATACTACAGTCACTTTATAAATATTTTTTGTAAATATTTATGATTCTGCCAAAAGAAGTCTTCATCTGTGGAAAGAAACATCACCCAATGCTAGTAAAAGATGAGGATTTAAAAGCATTTTCAAATCATCCAGAATTTTGATTCAGCTTGCAAAATTTTGATCATTTTTTGGTTTTGGTATATCTTTCTTCTGCAAATGAGGCTCTTTTTAAAAAAATAAATAAATAATACATTTGTGTTGTTGTTGAAGGACTGTGCTTGTGAACTTCCTTCTTAGCTCTGCAACTGAGATAGAATTAAGGGGGGCTCTGATTCAGTTATGTTGCAAGAACAGGCATGTATCCTGTGGTTTATCCTCACAGTGCTCCTGATGGATTAAAAACTTCTGTGAAGCTTTGTGACCCTCAAGAGAGGCCTGTGTAGCTGCTGTGACCCTGAACAGAATCAGGGAGCCTCCCTGCAATGCAGCATCAGCCTTGCACACCTTTGCCTGGCTGAAGCCTGTCCTCAGGGTGGGAGAGCACAGCCTGGATCAGTTACAGACAGGTGTGGACAGCAGTGTCAGAGAGGAGTCTTAGCTGGGTGCTTTTGTATTCACAGATAGTGTTGCTTTTGATTCCTTCAGAAGAAACAGATGAGAGTGATCTTGTCATGGAAGTAACTGCTGGAGTTGGAGGGCAGGAAGCCATGCTGTTCACCTCGGAGATATTTGATATGTATCAACGATATGCTGCTTATAAAAAGTGGAAATTTGAAGTATTAGAATACTTTCCCAGTGAACTAGGTCAGTAATGAAAAAACTGTAACTTCCTAATTCAAGTTGAAACACTCATTCATGTGATATTTTAATTTCCAAAGTAAAGGAAACTAATTTGCACTATCTTAATTTTAGAAATGTAATATTGTTCGAATGTCTGATTACAATTCTCTTCAGCTTCTGTATTTGGGCATGAAACTCCATTTCAGAAAAACTATTAAAATACTAAAGTGCTACAAAGAAAATTTGTCTTTCAGTAATTTCATTTCTACATTTTAAAACTATTGAAAGACAAGTGCTTGGCAGAAGGAGAAATTTAGAAAGTGATACAAATATGTTGGTTTAGCTTTTTTTAAATAAAGTTTATGTAAACTTTATTTGGCTGCAGTGTTCTGCTTAGGTATCTAATGTTTTATTGTTTCTAGATTAGGTTGGTGGAAGATTGAAAAATCTGTTTTTTATTATGGATCTATTGGCATAGAGGAATCAGTTTTATTAAAAAAATTCTTGAAGTTTAATCTAAAACATTTTAAATTTATTTGTAATAGTATTTCATCTCTAATATAAGGGAATGGGATATTTGGATATAACTCATCTGTAACAGCTGTTAAAATCTTTATTAGAATTTGATTTTTAAAAGTGTTATATTTGTCAACTGTTTTAATATCTTTCTTTAGAGTTCTTAGCAATTATCATATTTCAAGTCCATGAACATGAACTCAGGCTCCCTTCTAGAGTGGCTCACTCCTCTCTAGAGGACTGCTAATAATTCAAATAATATACTTTGAAGAAATACGACACTTGAATTCCTTATTTTCTATTATCTAGATTTGTTAATATTAATAAACTTCTTGTATTGTCAAGAGCTCATGTGCCAAGTAAACTTACACAGTTCACTTGGTGATAGGGATGAGAAGCTTCATATTAGAGTGCATCTTCTTACTGAAGGAACAAAATGCTGTTCATCCCCACTCATGACCAGGCATATGTTTTGCTAGGAGCTGAACCAGTTCGGCCCTCAAAGCCAACAGAAATCTGTTTATTTCTTTTTTTTTTTTAAGTAAATGTACACATTAGATGGGTGTAAACAGAAAAGAGGAAGGGTCTGGGGGTCTGGGTCTTTTTTTTTCACATACTAGGGGGAGAGGAGAGTTGCTCTTCCATTGAGGCAAGACTTGGATTGGGTAAGCCCCAGCAGTCTCACACACTTCACCTTCAGAGCAAGTTTCGGTCAGCTTAAGCAAAGTCTGTCTCATCTTCCAGCCAGCTGTATGCTTTTTCTTTCTCATCTCTTGCAGTTTTGAGGCCACTGTACTAATTGGATCAGTCCATTGATTTGGCTGAAAATTCCCTGTTATGGAATAGTTGTAAGTCAGATCTGACTCAGCTTACAGTCCTATGATGAGAAGAAAAAGGGAGTTGGGCTTGGCTACCCTTTTGGTGAAAGCTCAATCCTTGGACAAGGAGCCCACATCCTCAGAGATATTCTCGTTAATGCCTTAAATGGGAAATGGAACTAATATGTGAACCTAGTATAAATCTATCCATATTTTCTCTTGTAAAGGGCTAGTTTTTAAATGGTTATATGTTTATTTTAAAGTCTGTTTTGCTAAGGGTTTGCTTATGCACCTTAATTAACATTTAGGATGCAAATCTTGGGAAAACTAAAGGCAGTCCTAGCTTTTGTCAGCCTCTTGCAGGTTATTTTTTGATTTTGTGTAACCACATATTATCTAAACATGCTGGAGATGAATTGAGAGGTAGGGGCACTATACATGGCATGGCCAATGAAATGGATATTTGAACCCTCAGGTTCAAAGTGTGCTGTGCTGACTAAGCATGGGGCTAAGGATGCTGGTGACACTAGGCTGTTACATCCTACCCACATTCCATTTTTATTCACATGAGTAAAAGCAAGGTCCTGTGTTAAAATGTCAGTCTCCCTTATTTCAGAGAACTCCTGAATTTGAAATCTGAAGGTGAGCATGTGTGAACCAGGTGCCATAAAATACAGGTTACAGTCCACTCTTAAATGACTATTGACCTACCCCGTGGGATGCCACTATGCATAAATGGCATGTTGAAGATTTAGTGCACGTGTTGAAGCACAAATCACATGTCATTATTTATCCACTGCTTCTCACCTTGTAGTGGCAGGCAGAGACACAGATGTGGGACTTTTCCCTGATCTAAGATGCCACATAAAAAACAAGTGCAAATTCATACCCTTGTTCTGAGTAAATCAGACATCAGGATAGATTGGGACATTTTGTATAAAAGGGGCAAACACATAGTTATCAAGAGTTAACTACATTTAACAGGTCTATAACCTGTCTGCCAGCATAAAAGGTCTGTCAAAATTTCATTAGATTTCTCTGCAGTTCTTAATAAGTCTATGTTAGTAGTAGTCAGTTTGAAGCAGTATGACCTAAATACCTGTCATGTGAACCAGTTTCTTGGTCATCTTATTCTAAGCATGTAGGCACACATGCCACTACAAATACTAAAAGCAGAAGGATAAAAATGATGTGAAATTGAAAGCCAAATTGCCTCTTCCAATCTTTCACCAACAGGACTGTAAAACAATATATATTTTAATAAAGTTATGAATGAACTAACACGTCCATGGAGGTGAACAGCCTGGCCTGTGACTGGCAGGTGACTTTTTCCTGCTCCACAGGGCAATTTCAGATTCCATGTTGTCTTCATTTAACTTTTTTAAAAAGCTGTTGTCTTGTTCCTATGGTTGAGTTCCTTAGTCTGAGAGATAGCTTAAACCAGTATTTCTGAGAAGCATGTGCCTCTTCTCCTCAGCTATGCTTTCATATTGCAAGGCTTGAAGAGCAATACTCCTTGAAGGCCACCTGTGTCTTCAGGTGGCACACTATCCACTGTGCTGAGAGTGGGATTTGGGAATTGTGTTGCATTGAAGACAAAAATGGGTGAAAAGTTATGTTCATTTATAGTGCCATCACATCTCTGATCCTTCACTTGTACTGCACACCAACAAAGATCAAGAATATCATAAAGTAGTAGAGACACAAACTCTGTCCCAAGGCCATGATTGCTATGGGCTTGACTTCCAAGTTCCAAACTGTTCAATGCTGGTAGGATGTTGCTGTCAAGTGTTTGCCTGGAGGTATTGGTAAGAGGTGCAAGAACCGGTGTTCTGTTTGCTCCAGAAAAAAATTATATAAGTGTATATAAAAAATGAAATTGCACTCTACAAAAGAGATGTTGACAGTCCTTTCCTTTTTGAGGTAGTGTGTGAGTAAATATGTAGGGCTTTAAGGTTATTTTTGCATTTTTGGCATAATTTTGCCCAAGTGTTTAAATGGTAAAATCATCATTTTAAGAGACGAATGCCAGTGGTGTGTAAATACATTGTTTGAAGTATAACAGCATAGTATCAGCAGTTCTTAAAGGTTTACAAGTGTTTTTCTTCTCTATTTAAGGTGGCCTAAGACATGCAGTAGCCAGTATTGCAGGTGTTGAGGCTTACAAATACATGAAGTTTGAAGGAGGAGTGCATCGTGTTCAGCGGGTACCAAAGACAGAAAAACAAGGACGCATTCACACCAGCACAATGACTGTTGCAATATTACCCCAACCCACTGAGGTAATATTCATCTTTCAGTATAACAGAATTTACCAGGAGCCGTTTGATACCAAGTGTTTTCTGCCTCTCTTGATATTCTGACATAATGACTTTTTTAATCTTAATTTTAAATTAGGTCATATTTGTTATTTTATTTTTATCAAAGGGATGGAGTAAAGAATTTCTGTCTTTTCTCATAATCCTAATTTCAGTAAAGTCACTGAGAGTTTACTTAACTATGACTTGAAAATTCCCTGTGATGGTCTTGAATGCTTTGTGGAAAACTACATTTTCTGAAAAGTAACAAAAGACTAAATCATTTTACCAAGCTCATAGATTACGTCTTTTTTGCTTTATTTGCCTGCTTAAAAGCAATGGGCTAAGAAAGCTTTGTTTTGATCTTAGTTTCATGTTGACATAGCAGATTGACAAAGATGTTACTCCTTCCTGATCTTCCTTCAAATTGTCTTGCTCCTTCCTCACACAGACTATTGCTCCACTCCAAAGCCAAAAAAGGGAATGCCTTCCATTTCATTTAAAAACCATCCAGTCAAGCTCAAATATTGGTTAACTCTGCTGGAAGAGAATGCAGCAGAGCTCTCAGAAGAGAGGAAAATTAGTGCTAAGCAATGGTTATGCATTAAGTTACTATTTGGCTGATTTCTGGGTCTCCATCATGATGCATTCCAGTCTGATTACCAAGATTTCTTAATATGTTTATAAGTGGATTTGAATTAGTACTTGTAAGCGTTCAGAAGTTTGATCTTGCATGAATGTGCCGTCTGAAATAAACTGACTGTGCATATTTGATATCTGTCTAGATAGAAACAACATAAAATAGTTTTTTTCTCTTCTTCTGTCTCCCATGACAGATGAGACTGCAAATTAGTCCAAAAGATCTACGGATAGAAACAAAGCGAGCTAGTGGAGCTGGAGGCCAGCATGTCAATACCACTGATAGTGCTGTGCGGATAGTTCACATTCCAACAGGTGCTGCTTCATCCTTTCCTTAGTACAAGATTTACATTCCAAAACTGCTACCAGAATTTCTTCTGAAACAATGGTTTTATTTCTGAACCTGGGCAACAGTAGAGCAGAGGTTTAACACAGTTTTCATGTCTGTTCATACTAGTCTAAATGCATCATCTTGTGCCCACTCCAGTTTTTAGCAGTGAAGACTACTGGCTTCAGTAGGTAAGCTATAATTTTGCAATTAACAAGACACTCTAAAAGAAGTCAGATCAGTTTCTATGAAAAAATTATATTTAAGCTTTCAAATATTGAAAATTACACCAAAAAATTCAAGTAGGTTGAAATCTAATGATCTGAATTTTCTTGACTAGTCTCCAAAAGAGAGTTGTGCTATTTTCATATTAAAACATTACTTTTAATTGCAGAGTCTACTCAGAATGCCAGCTCCCATTTGTCTGCTGGCTCCTTTCCCGTAGATGACACACATAATTAAGAGGCCCGTCCCTCTGGCTCAGGTTAGGAAACATAGCAGGGATAAGATACACCCTCAAATACTGCCTGATTTTAGCTTTGCATGGGGGCTTTTTATTGCCATTCCTAAGTCTTTTACTTCCATTTGAGCAATTCACAACAGCCTTCTTGACTTTCTTTGCATTATAACATTTCCTCTTCTCTACCACAAACATTCGTCAGGCTTTACATGGTTTCAGGGTAATCCCAAACCCTCTTTATCTTCATGTATCCAGATTTTTGCTACTCATTTTGTTGTATCTGTTTAAAACATCGATCCATTCTGCACTTTTTGCATCACTCTAGTAAAACAGAAGGCAAGCAGTGGGAGGTTAAAATTCTGTTCACTATATAGCGACAAAAAGATTCCCCAGATTAAAAATGTTTTGCATTGCCTGTTTGGATAAAAACACAGCAAACTAAAAACCAGATATTTGTTTTTGCTGATGGCAGTTATTAGGGTGTGTTATAGAAATTTTAAAGCGTATTGCAATTTTTTTGCACTTATACACAGTTAATAGGGGGGTTTATACCTCACATTAGCTCCAGAGTTTTTCCTCTTCCATCTTTCCCCTTTTCATTTCTCTGATCTCTCTTCCCTTAAAATTGTCCTGTTGCTTCTTCTACTTCTCTCATCCTAAATCTTTTTATAAACCGTCACTGTGATCCAAAATGTTGTTTATAAATAAGTCTTTCAGAAAGTAATACTATGTGATCTTATAAAACCATCCTCTAATATTACCAGAGCTACTTAATAAATCCAAATAACAACTGAGCTTGTACTATATTTCTTCTTCCTGCACCTTTTTTGGGCTTTTAATTTTTTACCTTTAATTGTGTGTCTTGAGATGAGAAAGCACACCCTTCTATTTTTTTAAATAAAATAGTGCCCACTTTTTTTATATTCTGATCACATGCTAAACACTCACTATCTTATGTATTTTACTGTTCCTTCAATTCTACATTTCCTGGAACTGTGGCCAAAGTTTACAAGTAATGAAGGTGTCTTTTTATAAGTCAGATCATATCACATGTCTTTTATTTCACTATCCCTCTGTTGTCCAAGTGAAATAAATTTCCACTGAATTAAATTTTTTGTTTTATGGCTTAAAGCACCTGTACAACTCAGCCTACACGTCTCTCCCAAAATGTATCATTACTCATTAATAAACCTGGACTTCTACATTCCCAGTCCAAATGTAACAGCCTAATATAACATATAAAAAATCTTCCAGAAATTGCAGAGCTCTTTTAGTATGTGTTAATCTTAAATGTTAAATGTCACGATATTTTTGACAGGGATTGTGGCTGAATGTCAGCAAGAAAGATCCCAAATTAGAAACAAAGAGAAGGCTATGCAAATGCTATGTGCTAAGCTATACAACGCCAAACTAGAAGAAGAAACCAGAAAGAGAAACTATGCTCGAAAGATTCAAGTAAGTTTCATTTAGTTGTGATCTAATTCTGTACAAGCATATGTCTTTGGGGTAACACCTTTGTTGAACAGCAAGTACTAAATGGAAATACAGAGCAGCAGAAGCCCAGGAAGGACTTACATGAGGCAAAAAAAGTCAAAGAATCACAGAATGGTTTGGATTGGCAGGGACCTTAAAAACAATCTAGCTCCAACCCTCCTACCATGGGAAGAGATGCCTTCCACTAGGCCACTCTGGAGAACAAAATTTGTGGAGTCCCCAAGCTCTCTGAACAACAGCATTGCCTTTTACTGCAGCAGTAAAGGCCATACATTAGCCAGACTTAAAATTTCAGTAGTAGGTAAATCCTAGAGATCCAGTGAAATGAACTGGATTGCAGCATGAAGAACCAGAATAGTATTAGAAAATGATGCAGTAAAATTGTTCTTTTACATGTTTGAGAACAATTACTGCAGCTGTAGAAGTGATCTGAGTACTATGAAACTATAACAAATTTTGTGTAGGCATGTGAGGAAGAGAAACCTTTTGCTTTGTATGCCTAATCACTATTTCACCATTTTTTTAAGATGATGATAAACTGATTCTTCTTGTTTAACAGATTGGGACTAAAGGAAGATCAGAGAAGATCAGAACATACAACTTTCCACAGGACCGGATTACAGACCACAGAATAAGCAGATCAGTGCATCATGTTGAGTCTTTCATGTTAGGGGAAGAAATGCTAGATGAAATGATACAAACTCTGAGAGAATATGCTGATTATGAATCTCTAATGGAAATTATTTCAGAAAATGATAAAAATAATTCTTCCTGAATGTGGTTCTTTCTCAGGCCATTACAACAGATGTAGACCTTGGTCTGCAAAGAATCTTCTCAGAGCACCACCCAGAAAATGGAACTTGTTTTCAGATCATGAAAAACATCACAACTTGTGTCCTCATGAAACATTTTTCTTACTTGCTGGATAGAAGACTTTGTTATCTTCATATGAGACATTATTGCTGCAGTAGTCCTTGTGAAAAGTTTATTTGACTGCACCAGAAGTAACAGCAGTTTTTAACTTCTACTGAGAACTGATTCAAAAGGTATGCATGCATTAAAAAAGGAATTATTTCTAGTTCCTGTTTTCATTTAAACTATGGCTTAACCATCACACAGCAGTGTGAAATGGCTTACTTGGGAGAACAAAAAAATCCTATTTTGTTTGAGTGATTGGAAAAAAGTGATAAATAAATTATCCCACTCTATCTATCCACATATTCATTAATCATTTACATGTATCATGGGAAAGGGAGTCAAAGTGTATCGCTGTCATGTTTTCAAGTCCTTCTGGCCCTTATTTATAAATACAAAACAAGTTTAGGAATATCCCTTGTTGGAGGAAAAAAAAGCCATGGAAGCCAAGTGAGGAATCATATGAATTGGTTTTGGAACAAATGTTTCTGTTCTCAAGTCAAAAATAAAAGTAATTGTTACAATATTGTTTGACTGATATTTTAGTATCCAGTTGACTTCAGTGTCTCCTTTATGGTTTTAATGGAATGTCCAAGTTATTGATCTTCTGAAAGTTATGTGCTATGACCAGCACTTACTGGTTTTGTCTGTATTTAACAGCATTTTACAACATTTGATGCATTTGATTTGATTTATCTTCTTTTTTTCTAGCAAACACTGCATAGTAACTATGATTAAGTTCCAAGTCTTTTAAATTAAGATGCATTCATTAACTTCAGATGAAGGAGCGTCTGTGTGCGTAAGATGAGGCATACATATTTTCTTCTGATAAGCATGAGTACTAAGTCTGTATTTACTAGCAGTTTTATAACTCCAAACTGGCACATAAAAAAAGTAAAAAGAAACACTGACTCAATTTTTGTGTAAAATAATTAGTTGCCTATTGGAGCAGAAACTGGGACTGAGGTATTCATTCTAACCAGATCAGTAGTGTAAATGGATCACTGGAGAGCACTTGTGGCAGTCCTATGGATGTGACTTAAAGCCAGGCCTTCTTATGCCAAGTGATAGATGGAGTTTGCTGTTGAGTTTCGTATTCTTCCCAACAAATAAGGGCCATTGGCCAGGTCTGCACACTGGACTTTAGCATGAGACTTAGATAATTGTTTAGGTCTTTGTCACCCTAGACCTTCCCTGATCTTCGGGCCTGTAACCTGTCTGGCCAGATCCTGCCTCCGTATTCTCATCTAGCTTTTGAACAAACACTGAATGTATTGTTGCCTTGCGAGTGCCAAGGCTCTGATCAGTGTGAGAAAAAACAGACATCACATAGCTCTGGCAGGAGGCTGACAGAGGCATTCCAAACCTGGTGTACATAGTGCTTTACATAGGGGGGATTTCACTGCCCCTGGCCTGTCATGTCAAGCTGTACTATGTAAAGACTTGAAGTCCCTCGCTTGCTCTGTATTAATTTTAATGCAAGAGATGTTGTGTCTGCAGATGCAATCTCCTTAAGCTATGAGCAGATTACTTTTCCAGCAGTGGTGGGGATTCCTGCACTGGTGTCCAGTCAGCCTAGTCAGAGTGCTCCTGCTCTCTCTGCAACCACTGGTAGCGTTGGTCATATAAAATAAATTCTTTTCTGGGGGGTAGCCCGGATCCTCTGCCAGACTTGAATCACAGAATGAGTCACGTTGGAAGGGACAACAGTGGGTAATGCAGTCCAACATCCCTCCTTGAGCCTGGTCATCCTAGAGCACATGGTACAGGATTGCATCCGGGCAGTTCTTGAATATCTCCAGTGCGGGAGAGAATCCTTTCCCGGTAGAGGAGCTTTGCGCGTTCGGGGCGACGTGGAGATCCCGAGCGCGTCCATTTAAACAAGGAGACGCAGACGTAGCTGGGCGCCAGGCTGCGCTCGGGCCCGTGTCGGAGGCGGGACGCGGTTCCTCCGGCACCGGGAGCGGTGCGGGGCCGAGCGCGGGAGGAAGGGGCGGGCGGGAGCGGCCAGCGCGGGAGCCGCGGCCGCGCCACTCGCGTCCCTGCCTGGCGCCGCGGAGGGAAAGGAGGGGCGGGCCCGGCCCCGCCCGCCGCACCGCCCATTGGCCCCCGCCCTCTGCCCGCCGCCCATTGGCTGCGGCCGGCGCCTCGGCGCCTCGCCATTGGCTGCCGCGGTTTTGGACACCAAATTTAAAGTTTTTAAAAAGCTGCCGGCGCGAGCGGGACTCACTCCCTGCCCGCGGCGGCGCCGGCGCAGCCCTGCAGGTGAGCGCGGGGCGCGATCCGACCTCCGCCGCGATCCGAGCTCCTCCGGGAGCCGCTCCGAGCCTTCGGGGCTCCACGGCCGGGGCGCCGCTCTCGGGGCGGCTCGGGGGCGCTTGGGCTCCGCGATCAGGGCTCTTGGGATGGGGTGGCGAGAGTTGCTGGCGTACGTGGTGGCGGGACCGTGCGGATGCTAGCGGCGCTGCGGCGGAGATTGGACTCGGGATGGGGATTCCTGGCCGCCGTCCGGTCTCGCTGCTCTCCTAGCCTAGCCCCGCAGCTATCCCGCCGGCGGGACGGGATGGGACGGGACGGTGGCGCCTTGGCGGCCAGGGAGCGCCCCGATCCCGCCAATGAGCCGCGTGTAGGGTGGTCCCGGCGGCTCCCCGCGCTGGCGGGGCCGGGAACGGCCGGGATGCGGATCGCAGCCCCGCTCCCGCCGGCGGGCAGCGGCGGGCGGGGAAGCGCCGCTCTGGCTCCCGCCCGCCGGCCACGCCGTCGGAAGAGCATCCCCCCGGCGCGGTTCTGCCCGCCCCGCCACCACCGTGTTAGGGGGAATGCTCCATTGCGGGGGAAATCCTCCATTGCGGGAGGCCCCCGAAGGAGCGGGGTGAAGTTCCTGGGGCCGTGGGGCACGGCGGAGCCGGGACCCGGTCTACCTGCACCGACCCGGCCGGGCCATCTTGAGCGCTGGCGGGAGAAGCCTGACAGTGCCGCGGGGCCCCGCGGCTGAGCCCGCTCCTCCGGGGGTCCGGGCAGGCCCTGTGCGCCGAAATGTGATTTTGGAACATTTTCCAAATCATCGGGATCTCAGCCCAAAAGCCTCTCTGGCCTCTCGCATGGAAGGCGGGAAGGGAAAGGGAGGCTTAGGAAGGGCTTGCATTTCTTCCCCCAACTCACACGATACAAAGCCATAAGCCTATTTGCACCTTTCTCACACCAAACCTGGGTACTAAGAGGCAACTTTTTCTCTAAGTCGTTCACGAAACGCATTTTTCTCGTTCTTCTTTACAAAATTGCTGGAAGTGCTTAAATCCTTTAAAATGCTTACTCAAGTCGGGGATCTTCTATTTCCTACGGATTGCAAACCATGTTGAAATTTATTTTCCGTTTAGATTTAACTGGGGAGAGATGACCTCCTTCTCCCCTTCAGCTCCCGCCCATCCCCCCGCAATTGTTAATATAGATAGCACCACATTTCGCGGGGGAGGGGAATGGAACAGGGCAAGCAAAGGGCGTATCAATTCTCCTATGATATCTATCGACCTCCCATCCTCCTTAAGTCATGCTCAAACCTTTATTTCACTGATCATTCTTTAGGTATGGCTGCTTCCTTTGTATTTTGCTCACACATGTGAGCACTCAAGCCTTTCCTGTGCCCCCCAGCCTCCTCCCTTCTCAAAAATGCCAGATATCTGGCTGCAGCAGCATTGCTTCTGGTCTTGAATGCAAACTTCAGGCTTCTCTGGGCTGCACAGGCCTGCGGTCACTCAGGGACCCTCTGCCACTCTCGTGTCCCTTGCAGGGACCTCAAGTGTCTTGACTGTGTTGCTGCCCTTATGGTAGGAAGTGGAAGCACTGATGTGTGTCTCATCTATGTTGGTGAAATGGTGGCCAAGTAAATCACTCAGTCGGTTTTCTTTCTTTAGTTACATGAAGCATAAAACTGATTTTTGGGAAGATCTTACATAGGTATAATCAGTGGCTGTTCAAATCCTTAGTTCCATTAGTTGTATTTTAGATACTAAAGGGTGAGTCAGATAAAAAGGGTGAGTCAGAAGGGAAGCATGGTAGAGTCTTCATAAGAGAAAGAATTTGTGATCTAGTTTATGCTGTGTTTTCATTCTGCCCTTGTTGTTTCTTGCAGAATACAAACAGCAATATGAAATCGAACCTTAACCGCTCTTGCAAAATGAAACGTGATTTTGATTCTCTTCGTGCTGGGTTTGCACCATTGAAACGTGCTGTGGAGAAAACAAAACTGGAAAAATCCTGCCCCTTGAATTATGAGGAAGGCTTTTGTAAAAGCTGTGCAGAAGAACATCAGAAAATACTCCTTAGTGACTCATACCATGCAACCACCAGAAATCTAGATATTGAAGATGGAGAAAGACCCATACATAACAAAGAAAACAACCAAGTAACCCAGAGACTTGATGAAGGTGTCTGTGAAATGGAGGCAATGGAAAGCAATAAACTTAATGAGGACAGTGGTTATTCCTCTATGTTAAGCACTCACTATGCTGATGCAATAGAACATGAGGATAGTTTACCTTTGGCTGGGAACCTCTGTGGTACACCAAAGCATTGTCTCATGAAGAACCAAAAACAAGAACAGTTTTCAAAGAAGACACTGTTGCCAGTAGTCCATTATGAAGAAGTGGTTTGCTCAACTTTGAAAAAAAGTGGTAAAAGAAATCTCAAGTCTTGGGCTGCTGTAGATAGAATTGTTTCTATGGGAAAATTTGAACTTTGTCACTTAATTGGAAAGAAAATGGGGCTGGATAGAATAGACATTCTTGCTGAACTCTTCCAAAAGAACCTGAGGCATATATTAGCGAACATTTTAAGGCATCTCAGCGAGATGGATTTAGTAAAGTAAGTATGTTCATGTCATTGCATTTCACTAGAAAGGAAACAACCTAATCGCATGCCTTGAAGTTTTAGATATGGGGCATGTGACATTTACTCAGTGTTTAGTATTGTGTGTTAATATATTAAAATATGAAGTGACAATGTAAGCTGTGATACATATGGAGAATGTCTTTTCCCTAAAAGGCACATTAAAGGCTATAACTGTGAACATATTCTATGCTTACGTAAAAGAAAAAGGTTGTTCTTGCTATTTAATAAATCCCTTTCCTAGGAGGCAACTGATGTGTTTGTATTGTTGTTGCAGTTTTGCCAAAGTCAGCACAACATGGCAGAAGATTCTACAAGAAGAAAAACGGATTTTCCAAATCCATAGCAGAGCTGTGAAAAATCTTTCTGTAAGTTCCTGCACTGAACCATCAGTGTTTTTCTGCTATTTGAGGTCTCCTCCTAAGCTTAAGAGATCACACATAAGTTTCTTAGATTGAAAACTGTCCCTGGAGAGGTTTTTTGGGGTTTTTTTTGTCCTGTTAGGATACCTTGCCTCAAGCATTGCTAGTTACCTCAGGGGTTTTGGGTACCCCAAGGAAGGTTGACTGAGAAGGACCCAAGGAGAGATGAAGAGGTTTTTAAGAGCTTCCACAAGTCCTGTGTTACAGAGAAAGGCAGGAAGGAGAGAGTCATTG